CTGCATGTTGACTATCTGTTGCCTGGGTGTGTTTGTATTGGTATGTGTTTAACTTAGTACCCGGGGAGTGTAAGTGCCTGTTTAACCCCTTTTAGGTACCACATGCCTGTGGTAGTAAGGAAAAAGGGGGGTGGACCTGTGGAAGTTTTCCTGGGGGTCCTCTATTGCCTGTTTAACTCTTTTAGGAGCCACGTGGCTGTGGCTGTAAGGAAAAAGAGTAGGGGGGATCTGTGGAGGGCAGTAGACTCACTGCTTCCTGGGGATCCCCAGAGTGTCATTTTGACCACTTAGCTAGCCTCATCAGACACTTCTTCTTGGTAAAATTCCAGTCTCAAGCGCTGAGACAGGTAAGATTCCAATTCTTTAGGCTATACAGGATTCGGGTTGGAAGCTGTTGCTGTTTCCTGTGGCTGCTGGTAGTGAGACTTGCGGGTGGGTCCGCAACAGGGACACTACGAGGTTGAGGGAGGTGGCTTTGGGCCACGCGAGTAAAGGCAAGGGATAAAACTGTTGAACTTATTTGAACTGTGATGCATGCACTGTATTTACACTGAAATGTTATTGTCTTAATTGTCTGTCACACAGATTCCTGTGTTTACTTCTATCTTACTCACTGTACTATTTACACTTTCCCCTCCTATTTCTCTTTCTCTTTGTTGAGAGAAGTGATTGGTCACACACTTCTCGCCACGCTCCAATCCGCGGCTACCACGGGTAGGCGGAATCAGTGACTAGTCTACGTTTTGGGAAGACGTACTTAAAGAGCTTGCTCTTAAAGTAGCAGTCGAGCACGGTAGACGTTCTGTTCCTTTCTCTCTCTATATCTGGGACGCCTTATATGGGGAGGATGGGACAGAAGTTAGATAAACCCAGTAAGGGTTGGTTAGCATGTGATCTAGTGGAAGACAGAGAAGGAGAAGAGATGGTTAAGAAAGTGAGTAAGATTGCTAAAGTATGTGAAATTACCGTACCTCTGTGCGGCAGATTGTAGCCAGAGAGCTGGCGTAAGTTACTGACAGAAGAAAGGGAAGCTGTCGGACCAAGATTTGGTTTGTACAGCAGAAGCCTGGTACCGAGTAGCAAGAGCTATTCAGCAAAAGGGATAGGTTGAGGAAGATATTGATCACAAAGGTTTAAGATTGTATGTATATCATAATAATTGTATTACTGGGAAGTTATCCCAGCAGTGCCCTGTCCAGGAGGTGACCACTTCCATCATCCTGTCAGTAATGACCGAAATGTAGCTGACCATGGTCACCATCCCACCCCAATCTTAAAACGCTGTGGGGTTTTTGTATTTTGTGTTAGCCATTACCCTGGTAGAGGGTGGGGGTATAAATGAAATGTTGTGTTTTTGTGTCTCTTTGCTTTGTAATGTAATTGTCCTTCTGTCTTGTTACTGTACAGCGTTGACATGGTTAAATTCGTGCTGGCAGGCAGTCTCTCTCTTGTTCCACTCAAATCCCCCTCTGCTAAAACACCCCCCCCTCCCCTCGCTTCTGTGAGACGCGGGGGGGGGGGAGGGGGCGGAGGGGGGTGGTGACATGCTTGCGATTTAGCTCTGTCTCTTCGGTGTTCTGTAGAGTTATTCAGAAGCTACTGATAAGAGTATAAGGTACTGAGGATTGTGGGAGTGACGAGCTCACAAGATTGCATTCAGTGTTGAATACGGGATTTAGGAAGGTGTAGAGGGAATATGCGATGTTGTTAAGTCAGTATAAGAGGAGGAAAGTGATTAATGGTTTGAGGAAGATAAGGGAATTTGGTTGAATTCCGCGAGTTTATCTTGCATCATTTTAAAGAACATGTTTCTAGAAGACAGCTGTATGGGCTGTTAAATGCATAATGTTTTCAACTGTCTTATTTAACCTGCCAGGTCTGTTCATAGTTTAGTATTCCATTTTGCAGAACAGAATGTTGCTTCTCTGACTTATTTTAATAGTTTTAATATAGTGTATGGTTGAAAGTACGTCAACCACCACCCTAAAGATGGCAACCACCACCCTAAAGATGGCGCCTGCCAGTCCCGTGACCTATCCACAGTCACGGTTGCTTCTAAAGTAACGTCACTTCCGCCCTTACCATGCCCACACCTCCTGTCTTCCTTTCCCACACATATCATGGACGTCACCCCTCTCACTTCCTCCCTTGCTGTCATTTCCTTCCCCGCCCCTGTCATGGCTGCCTCCATCATGAGGCCTACCCCTATTAGAGACATGTGGTTTTCCTTACACTCTACATATTATGAACTGAAACATTATAATTACTAAAACAATCATGCCATTTGTTTCCCTGTATCAGAAATTTGTCCGTGATAAAAAAAAAAAAAAAGAAGGTTGCTAAAATGTAATTTGCAAATGTGGTGTGACCTACATATGAAATCTGTTGGACACGAATATAAGAACATAACAGCTGATTATCCAGATTAATCTTGCAACAAGGGAAATAGCCAAATAATGCAAGTTATTTTAAACATTGTATCTTTACTTAATCGAATCTTGCTAGTTACAGATCTTATGTTTACAGTAACATCCTTTACTTTAAATGATGGTTTAGCATTAGAAGGGTTTGTGGCATGTTTTATTAACCCAGCCACTACTGGTTATTCATTTTAGTTACAGGGTGGTATAATTGTTATAGTCTAATTGATATAAATGATAGTACCGCAATAGTTAATGTTTTATCCAAAGACATATAGGAACTTTACTTAACTTACTATTAACCATTATTTATAATGATAGACATGTTCAGACTGCAAAAAGCTATGGCTAATGACATACAAAAGGGGTTTGAGTCAGTAACACAGCCCATACTGAGGAGAGCAAACCCGCTGATGCTTAATGCCCCTGCCATGGCAGTGTCTTCAGGGGAACAAGGGGGGCCTCTAGCTACTGTAATTTTACCCATTGAGGGCCAGCCCACCACTTTCCTAGTTGACACAGGTGCAGCCCGAAGTGTTCTGAGAGAACAAGACCTGCCTGATACCTAATTTCTTTCCAATATTGATGTCTCCTGTGTTGGGGTGGACGGCCTTCCAAGGCAAAGTCCCCTGTCCACCCCACTGCGGGTTGGTAACTGCCACAACTTGCTTGCTCGCTTTGTGGTATCTTCCACATGCCCCATTAACCTGTTAGGAGCTGATGTTCTTTCACGCCTGCAGGCATCCATCACCTTTACTCCAGATGGACAAGTGGAACTATCCACCCCTCTATCTGTCTCAGACACCTCAGCTTTGTGCTCCTTACCCCTGATGCTACATCTAGAAGAGCCTCATGGGGATGCAAAAGACCTAAGGACTAATTTCCCTGATTCACTAAAGACTGATGTTCCCAAGAAGCTGTGGTCCACAGGCCCAGAGGACATAGGCCATCTAAAGGTCCCGCCTGTGGTGGTAAAGCTCATCCCAGGCGTAAAATTGCCACGAAAATCACAGTATCCTTTGAAACCAGCTCAAGCTGCAGCCATTACAATTCAAATTCAAGCACTCCTGGAGAAGGGTGCTCTTGTCAAATGTGAATCACCATGCAATACTCCATTATTTCCAGTAAAGAAAAAGACTCCAAAAGGCGAACCAGAAAAGTACAGATTGGTCCAAGACCTCAGAGCGGTAAATGAAGCCACAGTTTTGGACACTCCAATAGTGCCCAACCCACACACTCTCCTTTCCGGCGTTCCACCCTCTGCCAAGTACTTCACTGTAATTGATCTAGCCAATGCCTTCTTCAGTGTTCCCCTGGATCCAACTTGCCAATATCTGTTTGCTTTCACACATGACAAACAACAGTACACATGGACTGTCATGCCCCAAGGGGCACAAAATTCACCAAGTCAATTTGCGAAGGCCATGTGCTCTATCCTTGATCCATGGCAATCTGACCATCCTGAGGTCGTCCTGCTTCAATATGTGGATGATTTGCTGCTTTGTGGAGATGATATACCCACAACAGAACAATGCTCACTTAATCTTCTTTGCTACCTAGCAGAACAAGGATGTAAAGCTTCACGTCTCAAGCTGCAATTCTGCCAACCTACTGTTATTTTCCTTGGCCATTGTCTGTCTCAGGGAACCAGACATCTTACCCGTGACCGAGTTAGAGCGGTACTGGACATTCCACCTCCAAGGACCTCGAAGTCACTACACGCCTTCCTAGGCCTCATTTCCTATTGCCGAGCATGGATCCCAGAAGCCTCGCTCCTTATGCAACCTCTTTATGATGCTCTCAAGTCAGGCCCATTATGCTTGTCCACAGAAGCCCTTGACAACTTCTGTTCTCTCAAACGTGCTATTGCTTCTGCTCCTGCTCTTGGCCTACCAGACTATACCAAACCCTTCACATTGTTTGTTTCTGAAAGACAAGGCCATGCAACAGGAGTACTCACTCAGGCCCATGGTCCTGGAGGCCGCCAAGGGCCTATTGGATTTTTCTCCTGCCAACTGGATATTGTGGCCAGAGGACGTCCCTCTTGCCTTCGGGCCGTCTTTGCTGCCAGAGAGCTCATTGAAAGAACTGGGGATGTTGTCCTTGGCCACCCCCTGGTTGTCTTGGCCCCTCATGACATTTCTGCCATAGTCAACCAGGTCCAGCTTAAGCATGTTACTCCTGCCAGGCATCTTCGCCTTCAATGTCATCTTTTGTTGCCTGACAACATTACCCTCCAAAGATGTCAAGTTCTCAATCCGTCCACTCTTCTGCCACTCCCTGAGGGGGGTGTATACTACGGATTCATCATGGACGAAACTTATGTTTTTCTTCTCACTGGCACCATCAAGAAGGAAATGCATCCCAACCTATCCTTTCATGATGGACAAGCACTCCTTCATGACGGAGCAGGATATGCCTTCTGTACCATGTGGTACAAACCAAACATCACTCCTGAACCCTGCTATGAAGATGAACTCTATAAGCTGGTTGAAGTAAAACTCACTGCACAAGACTTCTACTGTGATTCTGAAGGCAACAGTATGGTCTTGATTCATCTACCTCCGGAACTCAAGCATTTGTACCGTCATTGGGACACTGCCATTCCACATGTCCCTGTGACCAAGTTGAAAACAATATCATGGAATGATCTTGGGCCTATGGCAAAAGCATGGGCCACTATGGACGAATCACAGCTACAGGAAAATGGTGTTGTCAAATATCCAACAAATGACCCTAAAAGCATGGCCACGTCATTTCCTGGAAAATAAGTTCCAAGATTTAACCATAGTGAATGAATACGACCCAGATACACCTCATGACTGTTTTGAACAGATGAAAATGGAAACAACACATCTACCAACTGTACATGAAGACCCATTGGTAGATCCCGATCTCACCCTGTTTGTGGACGGCTCAAGATATGCTGATGAAGAAGGAAGATACCATACAGGATATGCCGTAACCACAACAGATGAAATTGTCAAATCATCATCTTTACCATCAACTATGTCTGCACAAGAAGCTGAATTGCAAGCCCTGACTTCAGCATGCAAGATCTCTGAAGGAAAGCGCGCCAATATCTACACGGATTCAAGATATGCACTGGGCGTGGCTCACGACTTCGGATTAATTTGGAAAACAAGAGGATTTCTTACCACCACCGGTACACCAATCAAGCACGTTCCGCGATCAAGGAGCTGATGGACGCCCTCCTACTCCCAGAAGAAGTGGCTATTTTGAAGATAAAAGCACATGGGAAGTTGGACTCAGATGAAGCAAAGGGCAACCATCTAGCTGATCAGGCTGCAAAACAAGCTGCAAAAGAACCACAGGAAGTGGAAAGAAGAGTGTCCGGAAATGAAGAAACTCCCATATTTACTCTGCAGACTCTTCCAACTGACCTGAAAATCCTGCTGGAACAATAGGCTACAGTTGCCCCTGAAGAAATACAGAAGTGGAAACAGAAAGGGGCAGTTCTGAAGGATGGAGTGTACTCCAACAACCTCAATTTCTGCCTCCCTAAGAATTTGTACCCAGCAGTCGTACAATGGGCACACAGACCTGCACATTTATCAAAAGATCTAATGAATGCTCTTGTACAAAAATACTACCTCATTGTCCCCATACGAGATTCTATTTGGGACTGCACCTAGGCTAGGTTGCTATTTTCCCCAACAACTACAACTTCAAACTGATGTTTTAGTAGATTATGTAACTGAACTCGCAAATGCTTTGAACAAAATCCATGTCCAAGTTTTCTCTAAAATTCCAGATCCTGATTCTGACACAGGCAACCACAGTCTGCTCCCCGGTGACTGGGTTCTGGTCAAGAAATTTGTGCGAAAACATACCCTGGAACCAAGATTTGACGGACCGTTCCAAGTTCTCCTGATCTCCCCTACCTCTGTCAAATTGGCCGGAAGGCCTAACTGGATCCACGCTTCCCATTGCAAGAAGACACCTGCCCCAGAGGAAGCTAACTCTATGCAACCATGTGCCTCTGGTACATTATCTCCTTAGTTGGCCTCCTTAAAGCCCAGCAGGTGGCCATCACCAAAGATGCTAGTGGGTACACTTTCTGGTATAATTCATCATGTACCCATGTGGCTACATTCACTTTTGATTACTGTGATATTGTAGAGTGCCCATTCCCTAAGTCACAGATTCAAGCCATTTATAAAGATATACCACAAGCAAAAGACCCTTACGTTTGTGTAGTAGATGAACAATGGGGTTGTGACTGTAACTACTGGGGGGCTGCGGGATGGAATACTGGGCCTGCCTGGGGTTATAAACCCAAAAGTGCTTTATCTAAGATAGACAATCAGGGTAGATCCCTCCTTCAAAGAATGACTTTAAGAAAGCCTGGAGGAAGTACCCCTATGAAATTAATGTTAAATATTGAACATCCTGGCCCCGAGGATGCAGACCGATATGTAATGGGAATGTATTGGAAGAAAGGTTCCTACAACAAATTAGGTCATTTCTACCTCAGAGATATGTACCACTCTCCAGAGTGGCAAGGGGCTGATCATATGGTCCCAAATCCGCTAAAACCACATATCCAGTCCTTTAAAGATATGATGGCCATCGCTAACCCCACTTTTGAAGATACCATGGCCGCTGAAACTGGATTCAATGACATTAATTTGTGGTTAGAATGGATGAGGTATAATGCTAACAAACATAATAAAACAGCATGTTATGTATGTGGCGGTGCCCGACCCCACCTTGGCACCGTCCCCCTAACTCTCCCTTTAGAGATAGAAGATTGCTTCTTAAGCCTTTTTGCCTACCAATATGACTTTAATAGGTCCCTCTGCATGGCATGGACGGCAGAATACCCTCTCTTAGTTGAAAATGTTAAGCCACCAGATGGAGTCACAGTCTATAGAGGTAATTACACTTGTTATGCCATGTATGACGGGATTGGTAAATTCATGGGTAACTTTTCTAAAGGTTATTGCGCCACTTACAGAACTGTTCCTATACGCCTGTTGCAACACCATACCAGGTCATTGGGGGATATTTACTGGTTATGTGGGGATCTACAGTTAAGATCTAGGCTGGAAACTGAGTGGTGGGGTGAGTGTACCCTGGCCAAAGTTATCATGCCCATTCATATTATTTCTGATAATCATCATGACACATACGACCCTCCACATACATCAGCCAGAGTAAGGCGCGAAACCCCAGTAAAAGGCAGTTTTGACCCCCACATTTACATAGATGCCATTGGGGTGCCTAGGGGGGTACCTAATGAATTTAAAGCTAGAGATGAAGTAGCTGTAGGTTTTGAATCACTTTTTACCATAGTCACTGCCAACAAAAACCTTAATTGGATTAATTCTATCTATTACAACCAACAGCGCTTCGTGAACTACACCAGGGATGCCCTCCAGGGCTTGGCCGAGCAATTACAGGCCACATCCCAAATGACCTTCCAGAACAGACTGGCCTTAGACATGATCTTAGCCGAAAAAGGGGGAGTCTGTAAAATACTTCCCGACACTATGACTTGTTGCACTTACATTCCAGAAAACACAGGTCCTAATGGTAAAGTCACTCTGGCCATAGCTAAATTAAACAGACTCTCAGAAGAGTTAAAGAGACACTCTGGAGTTACTGATCCCTGGGAAAAATGGTTTGGTTGGATGACTGGTTGGCAGAGAGCTTTAGTCCAGATTGGTATTGCCTTACTAATTTTTCTTTTTATTCTCGCTCTTCTCATTTGTTGTGTCCTCCCATGCCTAAGGAAATTCCTGCAGAAAACTGTAGACCAAGCAACACCAACCTTCACTCATCTGACAATCGATGATCAAGACCTCATCTCACCCTGTATTCCGCTACAAACTCTCCCTTATACTGATGAAGTGCAGAAAGTCTAGGAAGGGACAGTACAGGGACAGCGTCCGTCTTTATGGGTAGACTGCCGTACGGAGAAGTAGTGGATAAGCCACTATGGGTTACCAGCGGAGTGAAGAGTGTTCCTGAACCGTACTGACGGATGTGCTGCAGCCTGTTAGGGTCAAGAGAGGGATAGACTTGCACTTTGCATTAACACTAAGTCAGCGGTCATGGGGTTTCTGTGTCTTTGGGCTAATACTTCTTCTGATACTAACAAATAAAGTTTTGTCTTTTAGCAAATAACATTTTAGGGGGGACTGTTGTAGAATTATTAGGCCTCTATAAATCTGTAAGGCCCCTTTAAATCCTCTTGTTATACCTCTAAGAGGCCCCCATAGTTTTACAAGGAAGCTTTGTCTATAGAACATAGAATTTGCATGTCAGCAAGAAATAGCTTTGATAAAATGTGTATTTACTAAAATCCTTGAAACTTAACCTTGAGAAACTAACAAGTGCCAGCTACGCTCCAAATGGATAGCTGCCAAAAGGCCCCTCCCGTCGAGTGAGCTCCTCATTTTAACAAGATGGCGCTAAAACCTGTAGGAGTTAAGAAATTACGTAGATAGTGACCTAAGAATGGGGAGGGCATTTTACTAACATCTTAGCACCTAAGCCAATTAACAATGTCTATTTGTCTATATCTTGATTTTCTTCAATGATGTAATAATGCCTTTATAAGGGTCTGCGCACCCATTTTCTGTCAGAAGCCATTAAACTTCTCTGAAGTTCTTTCATTACCCTGAACCTTGTGTCTCAGTGTGAATTTACTTCTGCGTGCACGCAACTTTATTATCTTTAATTTGGACAGGAACAGATAGTCATTCAAACTAATTGGTTTGCAGTAAATCATCTAGAACACTCTCTTGCTATATCACTTCTAAGCTCTTGTAAGAGCTTGTTCCTGTCTTGCTCTCTGAAAGAGTCTACGGTGGTTATGGTGTCGGCTGGAGTGCTTGGAGCCCTCAGGAAGCGCTAGGAGCATCCTTCAATGGTGCCAGGTGATCTGTTACACAGAGAAAAAGTGGTAGTGGTTGGTCACTTTTGGGAGTCCAAAAAGAACAAAAAGATGAATGGTTCACCTGGCTCATAGGTAGCGATTGTTCGCTGGGTTTGTGCAAACAATCCTAACAAACAGCGCTCTCCTGGCTTGTTGTGAAATGAAGCAGGCGTTTGTACCAAATCACAGGTGTTTGCGGGGTTGAGTGTCCGCTTCAGAGTTCCAGACACTCGACGACCAAGTACCCCTGCCTGCTTTTGGGAGGAAAGATGGCCGCCGTTTTCCAGCACGCGTTTTGTTCGGTTATGTGGCGACAGCACAGAGACAGCACTTAAGTTTGTGGTTATCTTTGAAGTAAAATGGGCCAGGGGTGGTCTGTGTTCGGTAGATCAATCTACCGAACGCAGGGAAAAATAACTGGGACAAAAAAATATGGGGTTTTGTTACACCAGTTACATCCCCCTGGCTGTCAATCAGAAAACTGGTCCTGTGACTTCCTGGTTTGTTTAACTCAGTGGAGATAAACGCAAGAGGTAGCAATTGTATTAGGAAATCTGTGATTGAACATCCACAAAAAGTATGGCCGGGGTTAGGGGGCGGGGCGGCTTGCAAAAGCTGCAGACAAGAGATTTGCAGCTTTTAAAACCTGTATTTATACATTCCCCAAATTAAAAAGTGCATCATTAAATTCATGCATATTTTTATTGGACTTATATCTACTAAACAGTGTTTTTATTTTATTTGGGATGTGGTGTGTACCTTTAACACAAAGTTCTCTGATCCCATCATGCCATAGTCTCTCTATAAAAGCTCTCTAGTCTCTTTGTCTCACTAATGCTCTTGTTTGGATGGGGTCCAGCAGTGTGTGATCGGTAGGAGGTGAATATCCAAGGGAGAAATCCTGATTGTTTGACTCGAGGTGCTCGATGTCCAGGTCTCGCACTAGGGCAACATTTTGTCAGGTCCACGACACCAAAGGAGAAATTAATCATAACATTAGCACAAATCTTAAGTTTCAATCAAATCACCATGGTAACTGATGGAATCATTGGAAGCATTCCACTGATTATTGCACAACCTTTATAACTTTGCAGAACTTTTCATAACACTACACATGCTAAATCTCTGCCATTGATTGTATAGTATAGTTGTTCTGGTGCCTATAGCCTGTCCCTATTGCCTTTTCAGGCACATTGCTGCCTAGTAAAACCTCTAGTGTCAGTCACTCAGACGGCCACTAGAGAGTCCTGTGTCAGTGCAGCACCTTTGTTCAGCGTCTCCACGTTCTGCATGGAGGTGCTGAATGTTACCCATAGAGAACATGCACAATATCTTCCCAATGCTTTCCTATAGGAAAGCATTGGTTTAGCTTAGATTTTGAATATTGATTATCTCAGGCAGGACAAGCTACAGAAAACTAGCACGGCGTGGGAAAGATAGCGAGTAAAAACACCTATCATGTGATCTTGTACCTAAACAGACACAGAAAGACACACTCTCTGACACAGACACACACAAATACTCTGACACACTGGCAGTCACACACATTCTGAGACACACACACTGACAGAGAGACATACACACACTGACAGCCACACACACACACGCACACACACACGCACAGAGACAAACACACACACACTGATAGAGATACAGATACACACTGACAGAGAGTCACAAACACACATACTGACAGAGTCAAACACACACACTGACAGAGAAAGACAAACAACCACAGTGACCGAGAGACACACACACTGGCAGAGACACACACACACATACACACTGGCACACACACACACACTGACAGACACATACAGTGATAGAGAAACACATACACTGATAGAGAGACACATACAAACAGTGACTGAGAGATATACACACACACACACACACTGACAGAGATACAAACACACTGACAGAGAGACACACACACACTCACATACAAACACACACACACACTGACATTTTAATCCACCCAGCCTCCCTACCTTGGACTTTCTCTGGGGTCCAGTGGGGCGCCTCCCTCATCCTGC